TTCCTTGAGAAGAATATCATGCTTGGTACTGTGGAGGACAGCGTAAGGCGGGAAGGCCCTCAATGAGATGGATTGACACCGTGGCTACAGCAGTGGGCTCAGGTACAGCAAGGATTGTGCATCTGGCACAGGACCGGGCAGTGCTTCATTGTGTTGTACACGGGGTCGCTACAGGTCAGAGCCACCGCAATCTCACCGAACAACAACAACAAACAGCATTCTAAATATCTAATTTCTGACTTTATTTTCCAAAGTTCCATTTTACTTTTCTTTCTATCTCACTTTTCATATAACTGGCAAGGACAAACCATGATGTCCCTTTATTCCACACACAAACATCCTAAGCTAACTATTGAGCTCATCACTTATAAGTTCTATGTTTTTTTTAAAAAAACATTTAACCATGAGTCAGACAAGTTTTATATTTTCTCCACTTTAGAAAGGATGATGTTACCTGTAATGCCCAATAACGTGATCACCATCTCCTTGAAAAGTCATGACCAGAGCTTGTTTATCATACACATTTTTCATAGCATTCTTCTCATTGAAGTATAGAGCTCTACAGCGCTTTCATACCTTAGAGATTCCTCATCAGAATCAGGCTAAATGTCTGTATTCTCCCAAGTAACTCTTTAAGGCAATCTAGGAACTTATGAAACACACCATAATCACCATTGACTATTAACTACTCAAATGTAAAACAACTTGCACACTTTAGGAATTTATTACAGATTAAGATTAAGATAAGAGGACCAAAGAAGAGTTGATGCTTTTGAGTTGCAGTGCTGGTGAAGAATGCTGAAAGTACCGTGGACTGCCAAAAGAACTAACAGATCTGTCCTGGAGGAAGTGCACAGGAAATGCTGCTGGAAGCGAGAATGGCCAGACTTCATCTCACCTACTTTGGTCATGTTGTCAGAAGCGACCATTCCCTGGAGAAGGATGTCATGCTTGGTAAGGTGGAGGGTCGATGAAAGAGGAGAACGCCTTTGAAGAGAGGGATTGATATGGTGCCTGTGACAATGGGCTCGAGTACAGCAAGGATCATGAAGCTGGCGCGGGATCGGGCGGTGTTTCGTTCTGCTGTGCATAGGATCGCTGTGAGTCAGATATGACTCGACGGCACCTAACAACAACAACAACAACAAGGCAGATTTGGAAGAATCACTGGCCAGTGGAGACCTTAAGAATATCAGTGAAACACTGTCTGAAACATTCATTACAGCTACCTCTTGCTGCCAAATGCAGTCTTCCTTTCTGTTCTTGCTGTTGTTAGGTGCCATCAAGTCTGCCCTGACTCATAGCGGTCCCATGAGAAATAGAAGGAAACACGGACTGGTGCTGAGCCCTCCTCCCATCCTCGTTATGTTTGACTTCACGGATGCAGCCACTGTGTCATTCCATCTCATGTAGGGCCTCCCCCTTTACCCTTGTTGTTGTTGTTGTTATTTGCCCTCGAGTCGGCCCCGACTCATAGCAACCCCTCCTTGGGTTTCCAAGGCAGTATCACTACGGAAATAGGATTGCCCAAACTTCCTTCCTAGGAGTGGCTGGTGGGTTTGAACCACCAGCCGTCTGGTTAGCAGGCAAGTGTCTTAGCCTTAGCCTCTGCTTTATCATGCATGACATCCTTCTGCAGGTTTGGCTCCTTGTGAAATCATGCACAAAGTAGGTGAGATGAAGTCTGGCCATTCACACACACAAGAACATTCTGGTTTCACTTATGCCATGACAGCATTGTTCATGCTTCTGAACTCCCTGGTATTCTCAGTATAGTTTTGCCGTCAAGTCAAACCAGACTCATAGCGACCCCTCCTTGGTTTTCTGAGGCAGTAGCACTATGGAAGTATGTTTCCCCACCTTCCTTTCAAGGAGTTGCTGGTGGCTTGAACTGCCAGCCTTCTGGTTAGCGTCAAATCCCTTAGGCACAATGCTACCAGAGCTCCTTTTGTCAGTTTTGTTTTACCAACACATCAATTCAAATGCATCAATTCTTCTTTGGCCTTCCTTATTCATTTTCCACCTTTCACATGCATATGAGGCAATTGAAAATAAAATGACCTTCAGTCATTGGTGTTCAATGTGCTAAATCTCTTCTTCAGATGGTCTCTAAATTCACAGGAGTTGTAATCAAAGTTCTGTTTAGGCTCTCGTTTACTTTTTAATTTTTTTTTCCAACTACAACATGAACTTATATATGAGCAAGTGCTGGTCTGTTCCACAGTCAGCCCCTGACCTTGTTTTGACTGATGACATTGAAGTCTCTGTCACCTCTTTCCACAGATGTACTGAATTTGATTCCTGAGTCTTCCATCTGAAGAGTCCCAAGTGTTTATAGTTTATGATGTTGGAAAAGGGTATTTGGAATGAATAAATGTTGACCTTGCAAAACTCTATCATGAGATCACTGTCATCTTTTCTGACACCAATGCCATATATTCCAAATGCCATTGCTTCCCCTTTGTTTCCCACTTCCACATTTCAATCACCACTAATTATCAGTATAACTTGATTGCATGTCTGGTCAATTATATACAACTGAAGTTAGTAAAAACCTTCAATTTCCTCATCTTTGACTTTAGTGGTTGGTGTGTACATTTGAATAATAGAAGTATTAACTGATCTTCCTGGTAGGCATACGGGTATTATCTTACCACTCACAATACTGTACTTCAAGATAGATCTTGATATGTTACTTGTGAAGATGAACAGAATTTCTTTTTCTTTCTTTTTTTTTTTTTTAGTTTGTCATTGCCAGCATAGTAGACAATATGATTGTCTGATTCAATATTTCTATACCAGACCATTTCAGCTCACTAATGCCTAGGGTATTGATCTTTAAACATTACATTTCACTTTTTACAACTTTCAATTTTCCTATAGTCCTACATTGTACATTCCACGTTCCAAGTATTAATGGATGTTCACATCTCTTTCTTCCCATTCCAAGTTGTGCTACATCAGCAAATGTAGACCCCAAAAGCATTACTCCATCCTCGCTATTAAATTCCACTCTAATTTGAGCAGGCAGCACTTTCCTGCTGGTATTTTAAGTACCTTTCATCCTGAGGGGCTCATCTTCTGGCAGTATATCACAGTGTTTGATGCTTTGCATAAGGTTTTCCAGCAATATATCAGACAGTGTTTCCCTGCTACACATACAGGTTTAAGTGGACAATTTTTATTTTATTTTTATTTTTAATAGATAGCACTGTCCTTCTTCCCATTCTGTCTTAGTCTTTAAGCTCTTCTGAAAGCTGTCCACCAGGTCGGTGACCTTGCTGGCATTTGAAATGCATGTCCCTCCAGTCTCACAGCAACACAGAAGCCACCACCATATAACATACTAACAGCGGAGTGGTGGGATTTACTTTCTAGTGCTGTTATAACAGAAATACCACAGGTGGATAGCTATAAAACAAGAAATTCCTTTGTAGTTTAAGAAGGTACAAATCTGAATTCATTCTGCCTAAGATAGGATAATGTTTTCATAAAATCCAAAATTGTAAACAGATTTCTCCACTAGAAACAATGATGTGGAGCCTGTCCCGGGAGGTATAGAGGCAGACATAACAGACAGGCTCCAAGAAAACACAATGTGTGATCCACACAGCAGGAAATCTCTGTAGACTCATTCTTCATGAGGCTCCTTGGGGAGAGGCTGGCCAGGTGGGTAACCACAGGGAACTCCTTCCCCTCTGCCTCTGCGCCTCATCCCTGAAAGGCTCCTGTGATCCCCTGTGGATCCTGAGCACCCCTCTCAGACCAATCTCTTCCTGTTTCCTGCAGGGAGGTTTGTGTTTGGGGTCTCACTGAGTTCCTCTCACTGTGTCTCTCGCACAGTAATACAAGGCAGTGTCCTTGGAGGTCACTGACCCCAACTGCAGGGAGAACTGGTTCTCGGAGGAGTCAGCAGTGATGGAGATGTGGTCCTGGGTGGAGAGGCATAGTGGGTATTCCACGATGATCCACTGTAGGAACCACGTCCCAGCCATTCCAGGCCCTCCCCTGGGGGCTGGTGGATCCAAAGCCGAGAATAACCACTGGGGATGGAATAACCAGAGACTGCACAGCTGAGCGACATCATCTTTGAGGGCTTCCCCAACCCTGGGCCCGACTCCTGCAGTTGCCCCTGGGACTGGACACCTGGGGACAAGGAGAACCACAGCGAGTCACAGGTAGACATCTCAGCCTTCATTCCACCCTCTGTAATCATGGAAAATCTCACCTGGGCCTTCAGCCACAAGACAGAGAAAGAGACACAGCCACACCATTTTTTTTTTCTCCTGGAGGTGCCTTTCTTCCTCAGAGACACCAGCTCACACTGAGAGATAGCAGTGACCTGGCTGACCTTAAGGCCCCTGCTCTCTCCATTGCTGAAAGAGAGATTTGCATGTGAGGTTCCTGCAGTTATAAGAGGGAGAGGGGATGAGGAGGCCTTGGGTGCCTGAGGCCATCCTTTAGTTCAGCCATCCACTTGTTTCTATGGTCCTGACGGATTGGGAATTGAAGTGGGCCACATGTCAGGAGAGGGTGACTACGCAGAGGAAATGATGACCTTCCAACACTGGAGTTGACCATCCTCATTCTGTGCTGGGGAGTGTGTACAAGATAGTGACACAGTTCTGAATGGTGCAGTGAATGGCATACACCCAGTGATGCTCTGAATACCACACACAAGTGGGAGGAAGCTGGGTCCTGATACCCCGATTCCCCTAGGCTCCTGTGTGTGCGGGGATGCTGTGTGGGAGATGACTCTGTTTATCCTAGTGCCCTCAGCATAAGGTTGTTTGTGGAATCCATGAAAGGTCGAAGCTTCCAAACTCACCAGGACAGGGCTGTGTAAAGAAGTACAATACCTTCATAATGATACCATTCAAGAGTGCTTTAAACTGAGACAAAAGTGATTTTTTGAAAGTTCATGTATTTTCTAAATTAGGGTTACTTTTGATCCCAAGAGAACAAACGAATGATTTTGTAAACTGTTGCATAAATGCACAGGGTTAACATAATGTTGTTTTAATACATTTAAAAAGCTAATAATGCATTCAGGAGCTCTGGTGGCATAGTGCCTAAGGCACTTGACTGCTAACCAGAAGGCTGGTGGTTCAAACCCACCAGCCACTCCTTGGAAAGAAGGTTGGGCAATCTACTTCCATAGAGATACTGCCTCAGAAACCCAAGGAGGGGTCGCTATAAGTCAGGTCTGATTCCATGGCACATAACAATAACAGCAACAATGCATTCACTTTGAATTTCCTTTCAAGTGATATTACGTGTTATCCAATTGTATTAACCATGGCAGTCAAGCAAATTCTGACTTCTAACGACCCTATAGGAGAGAAGAGGTCTGTCCACAGGGTTTCCAAGGTTGTAATCTTTACAGAAGAAAACTGCCACACCTTTCTTCTTCAGACCACCTGGTAGTTCAAAGCAACTGATCTTTTGGGTACCAGCCAAGCACATAACAACTGTGCCACCAGGGCTGATAACAAAAGCTCCAATACCTTGGTCACATTTACCAATATTTACTATCTCACCTATTCTCTGGGTTAAATATTCTGCAGGGCTTGCCTGTGTGTTTGAGTGTTTCATGGAGTTGCAGTCAGGCTGGTGGCCAGAGTGTTTGGTGTCTCAAGGATGGACATGGATGGACAGTTCATTTCAGAAGAATCATGACCAGAGCTTTGAATAATTGCTGGCTTAGCCTGAGATGCCCTCACCACATAGTGACAAAACCCATGGACCTGGTTGATATTGGCCACATGACTGTTACTGCCCTCCTTGTCTGAGTCAAACTCTGCTTCATCTTAGGCAAGGTAGGTGACCCCAGGGACATGCTTTCTCTACACTAAGGGAACAGGAATTATCTATGAACCTTCACTGAAATAAAGAATACTTTCTTGGTCCTAGTGAGTACAAGCATAGTTCCTATGACACTTGACTGCTAACCAGAAGGCTGGCTGTTCAAACCCACCAGCCACTTCTCAGAAGGAAGATGGGGCAATCTACTTCAGTAGAGATATTGCTTGGAAAACCAAGGAGGGGTCGCTGTGAGATGGGTCTGACTCGATGGCACATAACAACACAACAACAACAGTGAGTACAAGAGACTTTTGACACCTGTCCAGTGATTGATACTCCATATCCTGATGGAAAAGATGACTTGTTTGTGGTGGTGACACACCTGTCTAATGCATTCCATTTCCACATGGATGTTTCCCCTCAAGGGGAGTCTCTGGTCTCCTATCCTGTCCCAAATCTTCTCCAGGAGCTCCCAGGAGACACGAGAGAGACATGAGAGTCATGAGCCCCCCTGTTCCAGCTCTTGATCTTCAGAAATCATTCATGTCCCCCCTGATTTCTTCTCATCAATTTTACAGAAGCCTTCTCTTTGTTATGAAGTTATTAATGTATTTTTAATTTTATGTATTATTTTTGCCTGTGCCCATGGAAACAGGAAGTGTTCCTTAACCTCTGTTAGTTCTATTTCATGAAGGTATTTCCTGGCTGTTGAGGGAATGGTCTGCCTCCATGCCTCCCATCCAGGCTGCCAAGAGAAGGCCTTGGACAGACACATTCTCTGATGGAGAGGCTGGGAATTGGATCCCCTTCCCTCTCCCAAATCCCCCTTCTTGTCACAGAAGCCTCCTCCTACTCTGGGCACACGGTAACTTTCTGTCTCTTGCACATGAGAAGACACCTTATGGCACCTGGTCTACCTCACTCCTGTGTGTTTCCGACAGGGATGAAATGGGGTTTCTAGTACTATAACCCAAAGAAGTGAACATGGACCATCTGTCTTGCACTGATCCTATGTGTGGGGACTCTGCTGGCCAAGGGAGACCAGTGTCCACTAGTGAAGCTGACCTCACTCTGTCTCTTCTTTGTGTGAGTGAAGTATTTCCAATGCGCTGATAGAGCAGATGTTTGGTCTTGTCCTGGCGATTGTGGTCCTACCTGGACACCACCCTGTGCCACTGCCCTCAAGTTGTTGTTAGGTCCCATTGTGTCCTCCGTGTGTGCTCCTCCTGCTCCTGCAACACAGCTCCAATGGCTCACATCTGATCACAGGCTCCAGAGAATCCTTCAACCAGAGCGACTTGACCAGGGAAACCATATCTACCCATTTTTCTCTCAGAACAATTGTGTTGGTATGTTTATCCTTGTCGTTCTTTTATAAGTGTGGTACGTTTATTTACTAACTGTCCTCTCACTACAATATAAATACTAAAAACCATTCAACTTGTGAATTACAGTTTGATCCATGCTTCAAACAAAGTAACTCAGGACAACTATTGTTGAAATGCCAAGGAAGTGGGTTGGAAGTGGCCGGCCAGCTGTCAGCTTTCCAGAAAGTGTTTAGCTGTACCCCATCACTAATTTCCACAGCCCCCACGTTCCCTCCACCAGATGCTGCTCTCCCTGTGTTCCGTGCATGGCGCTGGCTCCCTGCAGTCCACTCACATCCTGCTTCTCTGCCTTCGTGTCCCCCTGCCTCCGCTCACTCTGTGTCTGTGCAGAGCACCCTGGGCGGGGCACTGGATCACCAAACTTTCCATGTGTGTGAAGAAAGGAAGGGACTCTTGACAGGCCCACAATAGCATTGTGGTGTGGCTTTGAGAATGGGATAACTGAGCAGGCCAGAATCATAATGTTGTTCAGATGAGCAAGAAAAAGCCAGATCTAGACACAAGTCAATGGAATTAGCAAGGGAGAGAGAGCGCTTGGATTTAGTGCGTTATTTTCCCCTAGAAAAGAAAGAAGAATTTCATACTCTGAATGACCCTGACAGCTAACTTGGACTGAGGTAAAAGAGAACCCAGTCATAAGAGGAGGGATGTCCCTGGGGAAAAAGACTGGAGGGAGATGCCCAAGTGCTTGCAAGTCCCTCCCTGGCTCCCCATGCACCTGCTCCTGGGCTTGGCCTCCTCTGTTTGCTGGTCCTGAGCACCCCTTGCAGCCCTGTCCCCTGCCTGCAGAGAGGTTTGTGCACGGGCTCACACTGACTCTCCCTCACTGTGTCTCTTGCACAGTAATACACGGCAGTGTCCTCAGTGGTCACAGAGCTCAGCTGCAGGGAGAACTGATTTTTGGACGTGTCTCTGGAGGTGGAGAGTCGACTCTTCAGTGATGGGACATAAGCTGTGCCTCCATCATAGCATATTACTGACAGCCACTGCAGCCCTTTTCCTGGGGGCTGGTGGATCCAGCTCCAGCAGTAACCACTGGTTGTGATGGAGAATCCAGAGACAGAGCAGGTGACGGACAGTGTCTGCGAGGGTTTCACCAGCCCTGAACCTGACTCCTGCAGAGTTGGCTCAGACAGGACATCTGAGAAAAAGAAGAGAACTGGTGAGTCAGTCCCACCCCACACTCAGTCCCTGTAAGTCCTGCAGCCCCAGAGACACTCACCGCAGGCAGCTACCAGAAGGCAGAGGAGGGACCAGAGAACCTGCATGGCTGAGTGGAGGGTGAAGACTACCAGCCAGGGCCAGCTTGGCGTGGCAATTTCTCTGAGATCTCCCAGGGAGATTTGCATGTGGAGCCCAGGCTGATGGATAAAAGAAGCTGAGCCAGATGACAGTCACTGGTTCTTTCTGAAGCCTGGCACTGTGGGGGGCGGCAGACCCCAAGCAAGGCCCGAGTTGTTCTGTCTCCAAGTGACCAAACGATTCTATGACATATGAATATGGTGGGTCCTCCTGCTGTCTGTGTTGTCCCAAACAAAATACTAACATGGGGTCCCCAAAGCACAGTCTACAGAGCAGAGGGCCACATGCACAGAGTTGGGGTCACCATATTCTGCGTTGTTCATCCTGCTGAGAACCCGGAGAGACAGGGAAGGAAATGAGTGGCCTAGGTCCTCTAGAGGATCCAGAGGGAAGATCAGGGAGGGAATGTTGTCCTGGCTGTGGGGGGACCTGATGCCCAGGGCCCTTAGTTGACTCCTCTAGTTATCTCTGTTGAGCCATGTTCTCTTTTCTGTCCTATGCCTTGGCATGACATCTCTGAAAAAGAGTGGTGTATTTTGTTTCCATGAATCTCGAGTCACTGCAACTATTGAATCAATGGGATCTAAAGGTGACACATGAGTTTTTGTGTCATTTTTGTGCATAACTTTTTTACCTATTTGTATTTAGCTATTCAGCATTTTATTATACTCATGTATGAGTTCATTCCTAGGAAATTTAGAGTTAGTGAAATATTTTAATTGTGCCATTTTGTCTTTTATTTTGTGACTTTTAAGGACTTCAGTTTTTCCATTAATAAGGGTTTCATTTTTATATGTAAATGAATGTGTAAAGTTTAATATTTAAGAGACATATTTGAAAAATGTATTTCTATTTCCATATTTTATAATTACAATTTCTTTTCATCTAGATTTAAATATTTGATTTATCTGTTATTTATTCTGGTGGAATTTGTAGGGCAGGGATCAATTTTTGTTCTTGTCACAGAATTTCCCTTAAAAAAAATCTGGCTCACTCAGTTTTATGCAAATAATTTGAAATAATACCACATTTACCAAATTTTAAAGATTGATACGCATTCTGAAACTTTTATAAAGTTTTCATTATATTACATTTATCTGGTAGGGCAGGTGTATACTATAATTTTCTGTTATCACAGTCTCTTCATCAACAAGGTGTAGGTGACATGGCGACAGAATACAAATCCTTGTATTCCCCCCACCCCATGTTTGGTTCCTGTTCCAACTCTGGGATGCAGGACCAGATTTCTAATGGATTTCTCCCTAAGTGTTCCATTGGCATTAAGAGATAATATCAGATGCTGTATCTCACAGTGAAATAAGAGCATGATCTCATTCATGCCCAGTCCCTACAAGGATGATCTCCATAGCATCTCCTGCCATAGGTGAGAGGAGGCGGCATCAAAGCCCAGAACAGATGAAAGGCCAGAGAGTAGACAAGGTTGTCTCATGTTGTACAAGGATGGTGCCTCTAGCACTTCTGTTGGAAACCAGGGTCAGCTCCATCGATAATGGTGATCTGGGCAGGGATGTTAGGCTGGGAGAAGCCCCAAACACAATGCACTCACATTGGGTGTGTGACGGCTCTCTCCAAGCATAAGCCCCACATCCTCTGCACTGAGCAATGTGCCTCCCACCTTCCTTTGGATTCTTTCCCTGATGCAGTGAAGGTGAGGGGGTCTTTCCCATATGAGCTGGGAGAAAGGATTCTGGGCCCTCCTCATTCCCTTCCCCCACCAGCCATCTTAACCAGGAGCTGTGACATGAGGCCTCAGAACAAAACATGCTTCTGACTTCCACCTCCAGGATCTGAGTTCAAGGACATCTCACCTGGTTTCTCAGTCCAGGAGCTGCCCATGTCCTGCTGAGAATGGGGTTGACTCTGCAAGAAATGGTGTCTTCTGGAGACATAGTAGTCTTGTGTGAGGACGTTATGGAGGAGATACATCCTTACAGTTTAGATTCTTTGAAAGACTGTAGTTTGCAGCTAAGTCTCCTGAAATCCTTATCTCCCTTAGGAAAACCAACAGGGTCCTACTTTCCTACTGGATGGGGGCAATGACAGTGCCCTTTCTGGTGTGGTTAGATGGCTCTCTGTCTGAGTACAGGGACATGAAGTTCTACTAAATATGAGGGAAGGCTCCTCACTGTCACAGATGGCCACTAACTCACTCCATGCTGGACAGTGAGACTCCACAGGCTAATTCTACTACAGAAAGTGTATGTCATATACATACACACACACATGTGTGTGTGTGTGTGTGTGTGTGTGTATCTATATCTGTTAAATATGAGGGAAGGCTCCTCACTGTCACAGATGGCCACTAAATCACTCCATGCTGCACAGTGAGACTCCACAGGCTAATTCTACTACAGAAAGTGTATGTCATATACATACACACACACGTGTGTGTGTGTGTGTGTGTGTGTGTGTATCAACTAAATATGAGGGAAGGCTCCTCACTGTCACAGATGGCCACCTAAATCACTCCATGCTGCACAGTGAAAATCCCACAGGCTAATTCTACTACAGAAAGTGTATATCTCTCTCTCTCACACACACACACACACACACACGTGTATATATGTATATATGTATGTATATGACATTCCTTAAAAAGCAGGTTCTGCAATGAACAACATAAATAAACAAACAAACAGATAATTTACAGTTTTTTCACAAGTCCACAATCCATGAAAACATCCATACGTTCCCTAATCACATTTTTGTGACTCATTCTTGTATATGAATATATCAACAATTTTACAACTATTTGAGACACGCCTGCAAATGGAACTGTACTGACCAAAAGCAGAACAAGGGAAGAAACAAACACTGAGAACACCAACAAAATTCAGGAAATCTTTGTTGTTGTTGTTGTAATGTGCCGTCCAGTTGGCCCCGACTCCTAGCGACCCCTCCTTGGGTTTCTGAGGCAGTATCACTACGGAAGTAGGATTGCCCAACCTTCCTTCTGAGGAGTGGCAGGTGGGTTTGAACCGCCAGCCGTCTGGTTAGCAGGCAAGTGTCTTAGCCACTATGCTACCCGGAAATCTTTAGGGGGGGGTATTTGGAATTCATATTTATAGAGGGGAGGGAGGAGAGAGAGAGGGCACACATGCTCTGGTGGCATAGTAGATAAGGCATTTGGCTGCTAACCGGAAGGTCAGTCGTTCAAACCACCAGCCCCTCCACAAAAGAAAGTTGTGGACTTTTACTTCCATAGAGATTTTACAG